AAAATTTTAAGGAATGATATTTTTTGTGACCCTGCTTTGCCATAACCCAGAAAAATAATGCCCCTCCCCCCCTCTTATGTGAGAAGAACAAAATGTGAGAAGGCATGTATAAAACAATTAATTGAACTAATTGACAGCAGACCCCCTCCCCACCTTCATAAACTGTCTAATATTTTATGAACCCCCCTTTTTCCTGGCTAAAAAATATGTGACCCCCCCACTGTTTCCACCTCCCCACCCCTCCTGTTAAATTATGACCAGTCCCTTACCTTCGCTATTTTTGCTTTCCACATATTGTTTGACTATATTAAAGGTGATCTACAGTCCGATCTGCGCATGTGCACAAATGAGCCCACTTTTTATGATACAAACAGTTTAACTATGTTTTGAGTTCTTGAAAAGCCTGATTGTTGTTTCTTGATAATTTTTTATACTCTAGAAGCTTGAAAATATAAATAGTTGTCGAATAAAGCTCAATATTTTGGACACAAAAATGTAAACAAAGGCTTTGTTTACATACGGATTGTAGATCACCTTTAACTAATGACCCAACCACGACTGTAAAGAAAATGGAGCTAAAACCACCTACATTCACCTACATTGCATCGGGGGAATAAATTCACCAGGCAGAGTTTCATATAAATATTAAATAATAAATATTATTTGTAAAATAGAGCCTAATACTTGGGTTAAGTGAAATAGAGCTGCACCCTGCACCTCTATTTCTATTCTGTGCTGGCATGCCCTAAATTTGAAAGTTTGAATATAATTTACTCCACGGAATTCCATGAAATGGAAAAATGCTGTTTCTGTTTTTAGCATTAAAATACAGACTTCTGATTGGTACACATTTACAAAAGAGTCTCACTGATTGGTCAAGCCTCTCTTCCTAAGATACAAAATTATTCAGAATTTATAAATATAAATCTTCACATCTGAGTTTCGTGCAAGTCAGAGTTTAGTTTATCACGACTACCACCTGACTGTGAATTTTCTCCAGATGCACAGCTTCGAGTTTCTTCTTCAACTTGATTTCCTGGACTTGAATTCTCAGAATACTTCACATCTTGGGAGCTTGGTGACTGTTGTGTGTTCTCTGAATTTATCTTACTCATATTGACAGTCGAGGCAGACACAGCATGATTTATGTTTGAAAGGGCATGACTTTCGACACCTCCATCTTTCCTATACAAATACAGATGTAACAGAATTAACATGCCAATTCCTAGGAGTTAAACATTTGAGTTAGATACAATATTACATCATTCTAGGGCAGCGAGCATTAAAAAAACGTGCACTCTGCATCATTTTACCATGATTAAGTCAGATAATAAACGCAACTTGGGTAAGAACATGTCTCAAAATTAGGCGGCACACACACAGCATTACCACAGGAAATTTTCTCAAAATTTAAAAAGTGCCCCCAAACCACTCCAAACTTTATGAAACTTTCTGAAAATGATGTTTGTGATGTTTACTCTGAGTGTATATCCACACCGGACAAGCTTGAAAAATATGCCTGGCCACGGTGGGAATCGAACCTAGTGTAGTACGACCTTTGGAATAGTAGCCCAATGCTCTGCCAACTGAGGTCGGTTCGAGTGTGTGGTATTTCAGAACTGAGTCTAGTTCCTTCGATATCAATGCAATCTAGTAATATGATTTTTTCTGTGTTGGTGTTATGTAGACAGGTGAATATGATGTTTGTGATGTTACTCTGAGTGTATATATTTTGCAAGCTTGTCCGGTGTGGATATATACTCAGAGTAACATAACAAACATCATATTCACCTGAGTACATAACACCAACACAGAAAAAATCATATTTCTGAAAATGATCGAAAAGCATTTCTCGCATCAAAACAGTTAGTTTCGACTGATAAAAACATGTTTTAATTTAAAAAAGTTTGGTAAAATGTAAAAGGAAACCTTAACTTATTGAGTGGCAGCACTCTCCCCCCTGACAAGTAAAATCATCTGGCGTTAGACAGAGTAAAATCGTCTGGCGTTAGACAGAGTAAAATCGTCTGCCGTTAGACAGAGTAAAATCATCTGCCGTTAGACAGAGTAAAATCGTCTGGCGTTAGAGTAAAATCATCTGGCGTTAGACAGAGTAAAATCGTCTGGCGTTAGAGTAAAATCGTCTGGCGTTAGACAGAGTAAAATCGTCTGGCGTTAGACAGAGTAAAATCGTCTGGCGTTAGAGTAAAATCGTCTGGCGTTAGATAGAGTAAAATCGTCTGGCGTTAGACTAAAATCGTCTGGCGTTAGACAGAGTAAAATCGTCTGGCGTTAGAGTAAAATCGTCTGGCGTTAGAGTAAAATCGTCTGGCGTTAGACAGAGTAAAATCGTCTGGCGTTAGACAGAGTAAAATCGTCTGGCGTTAGAGTAAAATCGTCTGGCGTTAGATAGAGTAAAATCGTCTAGCGTTAGACAGAGTAAAATAACAAAGTAGGGCACATCTGGGCACATTGCCACTTGAATGGTCAAGGATGAAAAATGGGGAAACCACAATAAATTTTTAAGCAATATGTTTATCTCTACTTACCCAACTGATGAGGCATCAGGGTTGGTCTGCACATCATCATGTTTGAGGTGTATGACAATTTGATGACGACAAAATATGGACAACCACACTGGTAGAAAACACAGCCCATGCAGTAAACCAAGTACAACTATTCCGAAAAACATTTTAAAGAATATTCTGAAAATCTCTGACGAAGCAAAAGCTGTGACAACCATGCCGAGAAAAGTACTGAAACCTGGAAGAAGAGATCAAGAAATTGTAGATCAGAGTAGCTTAAGGCGAGACTTTTTTATTCATTGGTTTACAGATCCGCCGACCGTAAATATTCAGAAAGTTAAAAAAAATAAATTTGGATGTCAAAAATTTTACAATTTTAGTTAATTTGGGGTTCTGACATGAAGTACACTTCAAGTGAACTTTGACTCTAGGTACTGCTGGCTCATGTTATCGTTGTGACAATCAATATGGAGATTAGCCACGTTTTTTGCGTTTTTTTTTTTTTAAATCGACGTTAAAAATTTTTATAAAGATTATTAATTTCGGTTCTCATTTATACTCAGTTCATTTTTTTAAAAATCTTTTTCCGACCTACCGACCTCTTATTTTTAAAGTCAAATCCGTAAACCAATAAATAAAAAAGTCTCGCCTAAGACTACTGTACATGTAATATAGTCTTGATCTACTACACACGTAAAAACGCACAAGTTGTTACAATTAGTCTGCAAACAAGTTGCTACAAATCTGTTCACAAGCTGTCAACAAGTTGTGTTCGCACTGCTTGTTCCCAGTTGTTGTGTAAACAAACTTGATGGAATTATCAGACTTGTTACAAGGTTGTTCTAACAAGTTTGATACAGTCATGATATAACAAGAATGTTACAAGGTTGACGACACAGGGTTGTAACAATATTGTTATATCATGACTGTATCGGACTTGTTGGAACAACCTTGCAACAAGTCTGATAATATCAACAAGGTTGTTACAAATTGTTAGTAATTTGTTCCAAACTTGTTGACAACTTGGGACAAGCAGTGCGAACACAACTTGTTGACGGCTTGTTGGCAGATTTGCTACAAGATGTGAGATTATTATACGTGTGTAATGCAGTGCTCATAATATTTTAATTTAAATGTAGTGTGCTTTTATTGTATTAGTTAGATATTTGAGGAG